CGTGCGAGCGGCGTGCTGCAGCATTCACACCCTTGTGTCTCCTTCTGGCGAAATAACCGTATCGCGTGCCGCTGCTGCTTTGAAGCGCTCCTGCCTGTGGGAGTGCAGGCACGGGCCAATTCTGCTACCTTGCCTAAGAGGTGCAACGAAATTAGATTTTACTACATATCTTAATTTGTAATAGTCGAGCTCTTCTTTCACAAATTGACAGTACTGGCCTCAGGTGAAAATCATCTCAAAGGAGAAGCCTTGCACAACCGACGCAGCTGTTGCTGGTGTCTGCAGAAACGCTCGTGTCCATGGTGCTCACCTCTTATGATAAATCACAGATTAACTTCTGATCAACCCACAGCCAGCACATCACTGCATCACCATGCAGACGGGCAGCTGCTGCACGGGGAGATTTATCGGCTCACCATCCAGCAGTTCAGCCCCACACCTGTACCCGGTTAAGCTCACCTCTGTTCTCAGCCCCAAGGAAGAGGAGAGCAAGCGCACGGGCGGGCGCCGGAGGCAGGGGGCCTGGGCTGGCCTCCCCCCTGACATTACTCTCCATTACCCTCGGTACCCTTGCACTGTTGCGATCGATCCAGTAAATCCAGTCCATTGTGTCAGCCAAAAGTTCTTAGCTTAACTCTCACGCTGCCGGCTTCTGTGCATTAAGCCCTAATGTCATTTAAAATAGATGCTGCGGTTCATTTTAAAAGGGACTGAATATTGGTAATTTTTTAAAGAACATGAATACTCTGACAAATGAGAATAAATGGCAATTGTATGTAATAAAGCATGACAGATAAAAATTGCATGTAGCAAGTTACAAGCCGATGGCCAGAGCCTTCAGGAAATGGCTCTGCGCGGCAGCGTGAAGCGCGCCGTTGTGCACGCACGTCGGCAAGCCGCATGCTGCCTTTTCCCTAACGGGATCTTGTTTTCACTGAGGAGGCAGTGACATAGAAAACCTTAACAGAATGGGTCCCACGTATCAGTGATTCATTGTCATCATTAATGTAAAACATGTATTGATTTTACCTAAGGATAAAGTTTTATCTACGAACAGCAGGAACACGTTCTTGAAAAGGTGGGATTCGATGTAAAAATGTAGATTTTAATGGATCTAACACTTAGGCAAGAATAGCGAGAGGTGGGCCAATCCCGAATGCCCGATACATTTCTCCAGTTTGGAAACTCTGCATCGCTGAGAACGTCTTAGCAGAGATGAGCCCGTCTGCAAAGTGTTCCAACAGCTCTGAGAATTTGTAGGGTCTACCAAAAGCAGTTTCAGACTCCCGAGGGAAACAGATTACGAAGTATTTTTAAAAGCAGTTATTCACCCACTGAACCAGAGAATCTGCATTAATCTGCCAAGTATACGTGGATATATCTACACACACACAAAAACATTCTCCTTAAATGCTTTTGGGTTTTTTTCAATTGAAGCTGCTGTATAATGGCTATTTTTCAGCCTAAGGCATCTCAGAAATTCTGAACCTTGACTCCAGGAGGTGGCACGCAACCTCATTGCATGACCACTAAATCCAACAGTTGCAAGGCGAAGTGCTAAAATAAGGCAACCTTGTATGCAGCATTTCTGCAGTCTGACTGTAACCTGAAGGGAGGGGATTGCATTTCACACACACAAGGTCTGCGGGAGAGTACCTATATTCTCCTGCGCGTAGTGCTCTGGATCTTCAGCCATAATAGCGGCTCCACGGATCTAAAGAGGTACAAATAAAAGCAAATTAAGAGCTCATGCAATGAATTTTAATCTGCTACAATATTTATAAAGCTGAGTTACAATGTCTTAAAAATGGAAAGGAAATGGAAGTGTCAGACCTTTTACTAGAGGGCTGAACGGGGGCAAAAGACCACCTAACTGTGGTTCCCCTGCCGAGCCCAGATGCCAGGCATCGTAAGTGACATCGCAGAGCTCCGCGATTCCCAGCAAGGCTCAGGCAGGAGCTCAGGAATCCTGCTCTCAGGAGGCAGGATTGAGAGTCGCTGGCAGAGTGACCACACCCAGCAAGAATTTGTAGATGGAGAAACTTATGGTACTGAAAATTGCACCATGACCTCAGGCAGTGGCTCTGCTCCACAGGCGTATCTGATTATTGGACAGCACCAATGTTCCACAAATAGCTCCCTGCTGAAATGCCATTCCAGTTCATTGCTGGGCTCCACACAGGGGCACTGGGGACACCAAAGCAGTCTCAGAGGGCATCTCCCCAGAGCTGACGTTTAGCTGAGGGGACAGAGCTAGAAGGTACACGACAAGGAAACCACCCTGTGCCATTCCCAGCCTTTCCCCGTGGCAGAAAGCCTGCCCCTTCGGTTGTTCCGGTAGCAGGGAGGAAGCGCACACCTTCTGCAGCACTCTTCCCGAGGCTCATGGAACTAAAGCATTGGTACTACAAAGTCCTAGCCGCTAACATCTTCCTCATCCCCGGAGCAAACGATCTTCCCTCTCTTCTCTGCAGCAAGGAAATGTTTTATTTAGGGAACTGCTAGATGATGAAAGTGTTGGGGACAAGACACTGAAAAACAGAGAGAGAACAGAAGCAATGTTCCCCCAGCTGGTGGGGGAGGTTAACCAGCTTCCACACCACAGCAAAGGAAGTAGAGACGAGTATGGCAGAGCAAGAGAGATGGAGAGTTTGCGGGCATCTGATCTTGGAAATACTGTGACTGGCACTTAGATGGGGCATGATGCTTGGATAGTGCTGTAAGGGCAGATTCTTTCAGGGGCTTAGGACTATCTATAGTTTTTATTGTTAGGATCCCAGCAGCACATCCCCCCAGTGAAGTGAGATAAGTGCGCATCAGGGAGGAAAGGTGTTGTAACCAATGACAAGATCAGAGCACGAGATACGAGTGGGTGTAGCTGAAGTGTGATGATTCTTTCCCAAACCACAAGGGACTATAATTTCAATGATATATTTCCAGCCAAACCATACACCGCAGTTTAATGAGCAACAGAACCCTCTAGGCTGTCACAGTGTGTGTGAAAATATTCTACTATTTGTCACATTTCAATTTCCTATTAATCTTGAATCATTCTCACAGAACCTCCCTCATAACTCAAAGGTAAAACCTAGAATGAAGGGAGAAAGATTACAGTGCCTGAGTGCTGCTCAGAAGCAGTAGGGTTCATGCTGTGAATTGTGGTACAGTACACTGCATATCTATTCACCAACAAGGGAAGATCTTTAAAACAAAAGGGCAGTGATTTGTACAAAACCTGCAAAGCTCTTGCTCCCTCACAGGAAAGGTTAGGTCTGTATATCGAAACCTGTTTGGGATCACTGCAGTATATTTAATACCACTCAGCATTCACACAGAGTAGCCTTTCGCATGTTCAAAATCCTGTGCAGACGCGAGTTGATAAATCCTCAGAACTCTCTGGCAAAATGTGCTATTTTCAAGCGCTTGCTCATTTCAGAGTCCAGTGAAGAATAAGCACTATGTCTGAATAAAAGATTATGGCAGTGTTTTTACTTGCCAGAATGATTCAGGGATATGCACGGGAGGCTGTGAAGCATGCTCAGTTGCGGGGGTTTCTTTAAGTGGCAAGAACACAGTAGCTAATTGAAAGCAGCTTTAACTCTTCATGAGCTGCTTCAGACCACAGTGTTTGCTAGTTTTGTCCAGATACAAGAATGGGGTTGTTATTCTTTATATAATCAAAGGAAAGTAACCAGAATTCACAAGCATAAACAGGAAAACATTAAAAAGCCTGCTTATCAGAAGCTGTCACCAGAGCACCATATTGAAAAAAGTCTCTACATCTGAGAGGGAAAAAACTACAACCTTCATTAAGTAAATACTGAAAGTAAAAAACCCAAAACAAACAATAAAAACTCGATCCTACTAAGTCCCAGGGTTTTTCAGAGGTGCTGAGCACTTGCAGCCTACAGATAAGATCAGAATGTAGATGTCCAGCATTTCTGGAACCACCCCGAAGACACCTCGTGCTGGGCATACACAATTACAGACTCAGCATCGGCAGCCACATTTAAAAAATAAGCCCAGATCTGTCGCAACAAATGAATTTTTACTGCTCTTCAAACTTTACCAAAGTGGATTAGTTTGACTTAGAACTGGATTAAATCCCACTGAAAATGATTGATCTGAAACAATGACCTTTTACGGTAGAACATAACATGAAAGACTTTGGGGATAAGACTAATGAAGTGCAGAGATAAAACAAAATGCCTTTGCCAACATTTTCAAAAGTGGCCTCTTATTCTGGGTGCCCTACTTGAGGCGCTGCATAGAGTGCTCATTTCCTCTGAAAATGAGGCCCCAAGCAAGTTGAGCCAAGCATCCAGAATGAGAGACTGCCTGAAAAATACCTGCCTTGAAGCTGTGTCTCCTAACATTTGTATGAGTGGGCCTCAGATGCGCCCATTCAGTAACCGTGACAGCTAGCAGAACTGTCAATGGGACTGAAAGCAGGGAAAGCTGTTTCTCATGTCATTAATCCTCGCTAGCACTGTAGTGGATTAGTTCAGAGAAGTTTTTCAGCAGCAGCTGCCATGCAGGTCCTCCATATGGCCATCTCTATACCACATTTCTAAGTTAGAACTATTGATAGGCTTAGTCTCTGACCCTGCCAGTCTTCGGCCTGTCTGTCGAACTGCCAAGGGGAAAGCTGCCTCTCCCAGCAGTGCTGGGAAATATGGATGTGTGCCTATTGGGAAAGCGTCCTTTGCACCTCAGGGATGGCTAAGTAACAGAACTCCTGAAAGCACTCCTAGATTTCCATCCCCTTTCTGTGATCAAGTAACACATGTAAGTACTGTTCTTTGGGTGCTTATATGCATTTTAAGATAAAAATGGCTTAGTTTTTTCTATCTAGGGCAAGCTCCTTCCTTTGATAGGCCATGCCATGAGGAGGAGGAATGACAACAGCAGGTACAGCACATTCAGCTCAGGGCAGGTCAGCCACATGCTCCGAGTGCTTCTAATTACAGCTCCAATGAAGAACAACATAAGCACATCCAGAGCTTGCTACATATAGTAGGACAGGGAAACCAGAACATGATGGGGATGCAGACCATACCTAGGGAACGAGAACAAGGTAAGACACAAACCGAACGATTCAACTGCTAGCCCAATGTGAATACAATATAAAGAACTCCACTACACTGTCCTTCAAAGACCAACTCCACCCAGCAGCACAGGCAGAGGCGGCCAGATGCTAAGCATCACTGGCATTCAGTAGAGATTCACTTGGTCTCTTCCTCTGCTGCAAGGCTATGCATCCCATCTGTTCTAGCCGATGGATGGGGATGCAACAGCCTACCCCTGAACTCTGCTCAGCTACCTGTACCTCAGTGTTGTCAAGTCTTATGAGGTCATCTGTAGGCACAGCTTGCAAATTCTTCTCCAAATGCGATTAGCTCCTCAAAAGTCTTTTGCGCAGCTTCAATATCCAGGTGGCATGGGGCAAAGATACTAGTGGGCCATAATATGCTGTACTTCATCCACTTGACTTTACATCTTTTAAATACTTTTAATTTGCTGGATTTCACATATCAAGCTTTGAATCATCTAACATAAGTTTCCAGAAAAGTAGTAAGTTATTTCATCTGGGGAATGACCTAGAAAATTCAATTGTCCTCCAGAGAACAACTGTGCCAAATTTGGAAATGAAATTCATCAAGTGAAGTGTAAGAGAAAAACCTTTAATTCTGCTTTAGCTGCAAAGCCCTTTTCAGATTTAAGTTTGGAAAAGAGACTTCTTGTTCCAGCACTCCTTAGGAATTCTGGTGAATTGAGCCTCTTCTTTTTAATTAAAAAGTCTAAACAACTCTGGTCTTGAACTATTTAAAAAACTTACAAGGCCTTAGGACACTGGTATTGTTAAGATGGTAGAACAAAGTTCAGTTATCGCCAAAACGAAAATACCTGTATTCCCTAACAGGGGTTGTTTTCTTCGAAAATAATCTATTTAATTTTGAATTATAGGTACCTACAATTTCTATACAGGTGGAATAGTGTTAATCTAATTTTTAACCCAGCAGGGAACAGCACTAAGTATCTGAAGGGAACTGAAGTATGTCTCACTGTGAAAGAGGCATCATTCCTCTTTACTCCAATACATCAATCTTCAACAGCAGGGACATGTAACCACCTGGCTTTCACCCACAGGTATTACATACCACTGACGAGCTAAATCATAGTAATCGCAGTGACATATCACTTGAGGTAAGAATTAAAGTACCTTATTTGGGATCTCATACAAAAATATATCAAGATCCAGTGTGAATTTTGCTACTGGGCTGCTGCTTCTGCAGGAAAGCCGTTTCACTACTCTGTGCACGACTGTCTTTGTTTTCTTTCCACCACAGGCCGTGGGGTAGGCACAGCGCAGATGCCTAGCGAATGGATTTTGGGCAGCGTGGCTGGGATCGCGGTACCTTTCACCTGCGGTCAGCGGCAGCAGTGCCGGGTACAGCTGGGGGTCCGCAGG